ATTAAAACCTTATTTTTAAGGAATAATCATACAATATTTCTTCAATGTTTTAATTGTAATATTAAATGACCTTTATTTTCCAAAAAGTAAAATTTGTTTAATTTTCATTACTTAAAAGATCGATTAAATGAATGTTTTATGCCTTAAAAAATGTAAATACACAACACAGAATATCTGAGCAAAAAATCATAAGGCTATTGTAAGAATAAATGAAACTTGTTTTTATGCTTTCAAATAATTAGACATGCTAAAACAGAATTTGGTAACAATAAAACATAAGGTTGGAAAAAATAAAACATTTCATAGGACCCTAAACATGTAATTTTTTTTTAAACTTTCAATAAATTGATGTTAAATTGTTCATGATTTTAATTAATTAGGCATGCTTTTTGATTAATAACATTTCATTTAACCATTAAAAAGGAGTCCCCCTTTTATTTTAAATTATTTTAGAAAACAAAGATGTCCAGAATAAATAAATGACCAAAACAAATAAACAATAATATTTAACCAGTACACTACTATTTTTTTTTCATAATTATTTTATTGCAATGTTCATAACAATTCAAAACATTCTTAAAATATGACAGGCCAACCTTTTGGCTTTAGTAATATTTTTTAGTTGTTGTATATGCATAAATTGTGATATAAATATTTGCTTATATCACCCACTCCTACATTATGTACGAGCTGCTTGGCCACAGCTCTGATAAACTGAAATGTTTTGACTGTAAAAGATTTCATGCCTGAGAGATCATTTTAAGAATACATCAACAATTCAGTTTTTTTCACCTCAAAGTATTTTCTTCAGGCCAGTAGACATAAATCAGGGGTTATATCAGGCAGCAAATGTTTTTATTTTTATGTTTGAGGATGTAGCAAGTGGCATGATATATGCAGTGAGTCACGCTGCTTTGCTGTAACCCTTCGGCACCATTAGCCCGCAGTAAGTGGTGCTTGAGAAGTGCGGCGTAAAACTCTATTGATTGGTGTTGAGGAGGGGAGGTGCTGCCTCTCACCCCAACATGATTGAGACAAAAGATTGTGATATAAATATTTGCTTATATCACCCACTCCTACATTATGTACGAGCTGCTTGGCCACAGCTCTGATAAACTGAAATGTTTTGACTGTAAAAGATTTCATGCCAGAGAGATCATTTTAAGAATACATCAACAATTCAGTTTTTTTCACCTCAAAGTATATTCTTCAGGCCAGTAGACATAAATCAGGGGTTATATCAGGCAGCAAATGTTTTTATTTTTATGTTTGAGGATGTAGCAAGTGGCATGATATATGCAGTGAGTCACGCTGCTTTGCTGTAACCCTTCGGCACCATTAGCCCGCAGTAAGTGGTGCTTGAGAAGTGCGGCGTAAAACTCTATTGATTGGTGTTGAGGAGGGGAGGTGCTGCCTCTCACCCCAACATGATTGAGACAAAAGACAAGGGAAGCAGCACTACAGTAAGCAACGTGTGTGGGAGTCGTGCTCGGCAAAGGTTAGCAGCCCCGTCTGGCTTATTGCTTCAGTTTGTGTGTGTGTGTGTGTGTGTGTGTGTTCGCTGTGGATGAGGACAGATCTCTCTGTCTGCAGTTTTACTGATAAAGGCTGGGCTGTCTGAGTGCCTGTGCGCAGGTGTTTGTGGGGAGGACGGGGCGTCTGTGTGTGGGTGTGTGTGTGTGTGTAGATGCTGGTGTTGTAGGTTTATGAGAGAGGTGTTCACAGCACCACTGATGACCCCCACTGTCTCTCAGCATTTTTGTATTGTGTTTGCAAAAGTAATTATACATGCTTAATTGTAAATATTTAGATATATTTTAAGATATATGTTTGTGAAAGTGAAACTGAAAGTGACATAACATGTATCCAAGTAAGGTGTCCCATACTTGGAATTTGTGCTCTGCATTGATCCCATCCAAGTACACACACACACCGTGAACACACACCTGGAGCAGTGGGCTGCCATTTCTGCTGTGGCGCCTGGGGAGCAGTTGGGGGTTTGGTGTCTTGCTCAAGGGTCTCACCTCAGTCGTGGTATTGAGGGTTGAAGAGAGTGCTGTACATTCACGCCCCCCACCTGCAATCCCTACCAGTATTTCTACCCTACCGGGACTCGAACCTGCAACCTTTGGGTTACAAGTCCGACTCTCTAACCATTAGGCCACAACTGCCCACTGTGAAACACTGTGAAGGAACTACAGGGGGTTTGTGAGTTGATATAAACATAATAATGAAATCATTAAAATATGAAAATAAAATGAAATAAATAAAAACATCAAAATAAAACACTAAACAGTTCTTTTTTAGTAAGTGGGCAGCCATTTTTGCACACTGCTCTGGCTGTGTGTTCACAGTGTTTGTGTGTGTGTGTGTGTGTGTGTGTGTGTGTTCACTACTCACTGCTGTGTGTGTGCACTTGGATAGGTGACATTCTTCTTCTTATTATTTTAAGCATAAAGCCTACTAAATTTTGTTATATTCAAGCTTAAAAGAAGAAATGCAATAAAGTTCTTTCAGGATATATTCTCTAAAAACTTCTTGATGTCTGACAACATTTTGCAAATTGCAAATTTGAGGACAAGGACTAATAGATTGATCACACCCTAACTATGACACTCTCCAGCTGTTGACAGTACAGCTATTCTTACAAACAGAACACTGACTTCATTCAATTATAGATATACAGCATTACTGTTGATTATGATATTTTCGCCATAATGGGGTGTCCGGCAGAGGAAACACTGTGTCTGTGACTCCTCCAAGACCTCGTGACAGTTCAGATGAGTTCTGGCACGAGCCGCTCTCTGATGAACGAGCTAAGCGTTCAGGGTGTCGCGCTGTGCCGCTCACTGATGGCAGTTCAATCAGTCAGTTTCGTTCCTGAAGCTCACACCCTGCCTATCAAACCGTTCTCCCCGCAGGGAGCGTCAGTATTGATCTCAAACGCTTCTGTCATTTCTTTTCTGCATGTGTGTTTGGCTTGTTTTTGTAGTGGTGTGTGATTGGGACGTGATGAAAGGCTGTGTCTCTGAAGGAATCCCACCCTGTGGTGACGGGGACTCGGCTCTCAGCTGTCTCTGTTCAGCATGCCACATGAAAGAAGTCAATGATTCAATCTACATAACAAGCTGTGAAAAGTTTTCTGTCGGTGTACCTCAGGGGGTCCAGGACATCAATAAGCGCTGCCCTTTCCATCTCATTTCATCTGTGTTTGGATGTTTACGCATTACATGTACGTCCCATTCGTGATGTCTTTCCAGTAGTTAACACAGTGTTTATGGCAGCTAATGTAAATCTAATAAAAGATACGGCAGTAGGAGCAAATAATGATCAATTCGAAAAGAAATGTTGCTATTGGGACGCGTCAAGACGCTCCAAAGGTGAACTTTAGCCACTTTTCATGAGCCAATCAGTTTCCAAAGGATTAAATTCAGTCACACGTTTACGGCCCTATGAAATCCATTTTATTTATTCTCAAATTCCGTTTATACACATGAGTATAATTTAACCATTATAGTGTCCTATGAAATGTAAACCTTATTTATTTATTTATTTATTTTTTGCTAATCCTGATATTCTGTGTTGCCTGTTTTAATTTTTTCTGGATTCTGTGTTTTATGATTTAATACAAATTTATTATCAAAAACAGTGATAATCAAATTAATGCACAAAACTGTAACAATTTAATTAATCTTTTAAATGTTATCAAATTAAATTTGAACAACTCCCTTTTTTGGGAAACAAAGTGCTGCACAACAGAGGTTTACTGTTTAAATTATGTGTACATTCTGTGAATGAAAAACTGTAATATTTTCTGATATTCCTAAAAAAAAGAACACAATTATTATTATTTACCTGTATTATTATTATTACTTTGAGAAGTACATTCTACTGTACAATAGTAATATATTTGTCATAATTTCTTCAATTTAAACCAAACTTTTATTTTGACAGGTTGTAGTGAAGAAGCTGTAGTTAAGATTTCTATGTATTTGATGATAGTTTTTCTAAAATTAAATGGTGAGATGCTGGTGAAGTGATTCTCAAAGCAGCTCTGGAGATGACGTTCATCTGTTCATGTCCTCATATAGTGAGACAGCAACAAAGAAAACACCAGGAGCGTCACGCGCGCTTCAGTATGTGTGTAGTAGGCGAAACTGCTTCATTCATTCACACAGAGACATGCAGAACATGCAGACTTTATATTTAACCCTCTGGGGTCCGAGGGTGTTTTGGGGCCTGGAAAAGTTTTGACATGCCCTGACATTTGTGCTTTTTTCAGTTGCTTACAAACATTTGAATGTCTAAAGTTTAATAACACTGTAATCAGCACAAACTGGGCTACAATAATATGTGAGCAGCATGTATGTACGTGATTGTGTTTTTGAGAAAACAACGTTTATGCGTGCTTAGTGAAAAACTACAATTTTAAAGTCACTGAAATAAGGCCATAAAAAACATACAGAACATTTGATCACAAGACTGTTGAGAACTGGATCTTGAAGTCTAGAGTTTTTGCTTCAAAATTATGTGAAAATCATCTTACTCATTCACAGAAAACAATATATTGATTAAAATTTTCTAAGACACATTTTGTGTAGAAAAGGAATATGCGAGGAGGCGTGAATGATCATGCATAATGCTGTGATTCACACCTGAGAAGACAAAGGCCTGCATAATGAGCTGCATAATGAGCTGTCAGGTGTGTGACTGAGAGGGAATTGCTACAAGAAAGAATGTGAGGAAAAAAGAAATGTATATATATATTTTGTTTGTAGTTTATTTAGAATACATATAACTATCACATAAAATAACTCATGGGAGTGTGTGCATCACATGGTCTTAGCTGTGGTCCAGGTTCTTGTGCAGGCAGGAATCTCCATTTCCATGACCAAGTGGGCTGCTTTGCTTTGGCTCTCTTTGCAACAGGTTCTTTTACACTGTTATTCTCACATCTGAAATAAAAAAGCAAGCATGCTGTTTACACAAACTACATTATTAACATTATTATGATGTTCACTGATACTAGTACTAATTTATCGAAACAAAGAACACAATTACCACATAGCAAACATAGTTTACCATACAGCAAATAAATCAAATGAAAGTAACATCTGTAAAATAGTGAATGCACACTTACTCTAAGATTCTGAATGGAGTTGAAAACTGAACGAGCGTCCCCTTACTGTGAGAGATACAGGTGAAGGCAAGAGTGGTGTATTCGGTCCTAAAATAATTTTATAAACAATTGTAAGCATTTTTTCCCACAGTACCTTAGTATAGTATGCATACTTCATGAGAAAACAGAATGCCAATAACAAAGAAACTACATTTTAACACTATCAACCACAAATAATATTACCATATAGTCTAGGCATAATAAAAGTACAATTACTATACTGTGCACTTACTCAGTATGATTTTCCAGCGAACTCAAAACTGAACGACACATGTGCCTTTCTTGTGCAATTATGCCAGTGATGCAGACACAGTCCTAAACGAAAACTGAAACAGTTGTTAGCAATTACCAGAAGATGCATAGCTGATAAATAAATTGCATCACTGATAAGAAAGGACGCGCGTATATGTCTGTCGATGCATCACTTATTTACAGCTTACTTGATACGTTTACACATCAGACGATCGCGAACGCCAATGACCGAGTATAAAACATTCAACATATTAACATTATAACTCACATTACTTTTATATCGTTGCTGTCTATTTTATAGAACATAAAAAAAACTTCCTGGCGTTGTGAGACATATATGCAGTGAATGAATCTTCATAAAAAGTTTCACTTGATTGTACATTTAGTCAGGAATCATGGTTTGGAAAAAGTAACTAGTAAAATATGTACAAGTTATGTCACAGTAACACAATAGCAACTAATGCAAGTAGGCAAATAAAAAAAGACTTACTATATCCTCCACTGAATATCACGCCGGCGCGTTCTTCTGAGGAAAATCCAAAGCTCTTTCTGTCTTATTCCTCTCAGCGCGTCTTCTTCCAGAAGCGAAGTAGCCGAGATGAACTCGAGAGGGAAAGTCTCGCTGCTTTGTTTGCTGTGATGTGGATGTTTACATGCGCGTGTCTCACGTGGACTATTGTAATAACAAAAGCGCGATCGGCGCGTGGGCGCAGTGGGCTGCCATTTCTGCTGTGGCGCCTGGGGAGCAGTTGGGGGTTTGGTGTCTTGCTCAAGGGTCTCACCTCAGTCGTGGTATTGAGGGTTGAAGAGAGTGCTGTACATTCACGCCCCCCACCTGCAATCCCTACCAGTATTTCTACCCTACCGGGACTCGAACCTGCAACCTTTGGGTTACAAGTCCGACTCTCTAACCATTAGGCCACAACTGCCCACTGTGAAACACTGTGAAGGAACTACAGGGGGTTTGTGAGTTGATATAAACATAATAATGAAATCATTAAAATATGAAAATAAAATGAAATAAATAAAAACATCAAAATAAAACACTAAACAGTTCTTTTTTAGTAAGTGGGCAGCCATTTTTGCACACTGCTCTGGCTGTGTGTTCACAGTGTTTGTGTGTGTGTGTGTGTGTGTGTGTGTGTGTTCACTACTCACTGCTGTGTGTGTGCACTTGGATAGGTGACATTCTTCTTATTATTATTTTAAGCATAAAGCCTACTAAATTTTGTTATATTCAAGCTTAAAAGAAGAAATGCAATAAAGTTCTTTCAGGATATATTCTCTAAAAACTTCTTGATGTCTGACAACATTTTGCAAATTGCAAATTTGAGGACAAGGACTAATAGATTGATCACACCCTAACTATGACACTCTCCAGCTGTTGACAGTACAGCTATTCTTACAAACAGAACACTGACTTCATTCAATTATAGATATACAGCATTACTGTTGATTATGATATTTTCGCCATAATGGGGTGTCCGGCAGAGGAAACACTGTGTCTGTGACTCCTCCAAGACCTCGTGACAGTTCAGATGAGTTCTGGCACGAGCCGCTCTCTGATGAACGAGCTAAGCGTTCAGGGTGTCGCGCTGTGCCGCTCACTGATGGCAGTTCAATCAGTCAGTTTCGTTCCTGAAGCTCACACCCTGCCTATCAAACCGTTCTCCCCGCAGGGAGCGTCAGTATTGATCTCAAACGCTTCTGTCATTTCTTTTCTGCATGTGTGTTTGGCTTGTTTTTGTAGTGGTGTGTGATTGGGACGTGATGAAAGGCTGTGTCTCTGAAGGAATCCCACCCTGTGGTGACGGGGACTCGGCTCTCAGCTGTCTCTGTTCAGCATGCCACATGAAAGAAGTCAATGATTCAATCTACATAACAAGCTGTGAAAAGTTTTCTGTCGGTGTACCTCAGGGGGTCCAGGACATCAATAAGCGCTGCCCTTTCCATCTCATTTCATCTGTGTTTGGATGTTTACGCATTACATGTACGTCCCATTCGTGATGTCTTTCCAGTAGTTAACACAGTGTTTATGGCAGCTAATGTAAATCTAATAAAAGATACGGCAGTAGGAGCAAATAATGATCAATTCGAAAAGAAATGTTGCTATTGGGACGCGTCAAGACGCTCCAAAGGTGAACTTTAGCCACTTTTCATGAGCCAATCAGTTTCCAAAGGATTAAATTCAGTCACACGTTTACGGCCCTATGAAATCCATTTTATTTATTCTCAAATTCCGTTTATACACATGAGTATAATTTAACCATTATAGTGTCCTATGAAATGTAAACCTTATTTATTTATTTATTTATTTTTTGCTAATCCTGATATTCTGTGTTGCCTGTTTTAATTTTTTCTGGATTCTGTGTTTTATGATTTAATACAAATTTATTATCAAAAACAGTGATAATCAAATTAATGCACAAAACTGTAACAATTTAATTAATCTTTTAAATGTTATCAAATTAAATTTGAACAACTCCCTTTTTTGGGAAACAAAGTGCTGCACAACAGAGGTTTACTGTTTAAATTATGTGTACATTCTGTGAATGAAAAACTGTAATATTTTCTGATATTCCTAAAAAAAAGAACACAATTATTATTATTTACCTGTATTATTATTATTACTTTGAGAAGTACATTCTACTGTACAATAGTAATATATTTGTCATAATTTCTTCAATTTAAACCAAACTTTTATTTTGACAGGTTGTAGTGAAGAAGCTGTAGTTAAGATTTCTATGTATTTGATGATAGTTTTTCTAAAATTAAATGGTGAGATGCTGGTGAAGTGATTCTCAAAGCAGCTCTGGAGATGACGTTCATCTGTTCATGTCCTCATATAGTGAGACAGCAACAAAGAAAACACCAGGAGCGTCACGCGCGCTTCAGTATGTGTGTAGTAGGCGAAACTGCTTCATTCATTCACACAGAGACATGCAGAACATGCAGACTTTATATTTAACCCTCTGGGGTCCGAGGGTGTTTTGGGGCCTGGAAAAGTTTTGACATGCGTGGGCGTGGTCACATTAGCGATAATGAAGACGACGGCCAAGACTTGACATCGCGTTGGTTTCATACTGATTACTTTGTCACATAATATTTGTTTTCGTCATGACTTACTTCGTTTAAAAGTAGACATGTCAAGCTTTCTATAGATATATCTCTCATGTGTGTGTGTCAAATATTCGCTGAGTTTCAGTTCATTTTAGTGACGCGTTTCAAACAGATATGCGCGGAGAATGAGACGGCTAAAAGCACACCCTGTTTATTTTCTTTATTTTGCAAAAGCACAATGTTTTGTTGATATTGTGAGTGTACACAAATAAAAGTAGACCCTTTACAGATTTAAATGCTGTATTACTCTTATATGTATGGTCAAGTATGAAGGAGCATTTTAGTTATTTTCGCTGTCATCATTCAAATCTGCAAAAAGTTCCGCTGGCGGAACTGTTGACCCCAGGGGGTTAAATAGACTTTAATATACAGTAAATTCCTTTTTTACTCCTTCCTCGTTTTCCGCATTGCAGAATTCATAAGACCCTACATGGCCGGTTTCATGTTGACTTTAAATCTTTATTCAAGGAGTCAAGTAGTCATGGCAGCTCTTCAGAAGTGTGAAGTCTTTATGGAAATACTTCACGTAGGTGTTGTGGATTGATAGCGTTCCATCGCCACTTCTTCCTGTAACTATTCCAGCTAAAGTACTTTTAGTACAGTCATGCCGATAGCGTTGATTTCTCGCTTTCATTGTAATATAATAGTTGTCTAACACTAGTCAGAGCATTTTTTTCTTGCATGTAAATCAGTAACGTGTGATGTTTTCCAGCGCTCAGCAGTATCAGAGTATCAGAATAAACGTCATCAGCACTGACTGTCTTCTAGAAGTTACGCCTGATGTCTAGATCATATGGGATTTCCTTTTATCCTCATCCGACTTTTCTGCTGCGTTATACTTGCATTTCAGACGCTTTCATCAATGGTACTTTAATGAGAGTCCTTCTATCTCTTTCTGGCTCCCACTCTTCCGTTCTTTGATTCTCAGGTTTTCATCCTCTCGCAGGGTAAGATAACTCATCTAGATATTCTTGAATGTGTGCATGTGTGATCTGAGAGAGCTCAACAAGTTATGGCTTACTGAACTAAATGCGTTTCTGACTTTCTCTTTCTCTGTCCAGTAGGCGCTTTCTGTTTTCTGTTGTGTTATGACTTGGGATTGTTTGTCATGTTGACCGCTTTTATGGTACGATCTGGACAAACTGAAATTTACATTTATATTTACATTTATTCATTTGGCAGACGCTTTTATCCAAAGCGACTTACAGTTGAGGAATACAACAAGCGATTCATCATAAGATGGCAATAAACACAAGCAGTGCCCGTTATACAAAGTTACAGTCTTCGTTCAAAATAGTAAAAGCTAAGACATGAAGGGATAAAGGATAATAAGAGAATAGAAAAGGTGAAGGCATAGAATTTATTATTTTATTTTTTAGGAGTGTGCCGTTAGATGCTCACAAAAGAGATGAGTTTTCAGTTGTTTCTTGAAGATTGTGAGAGATTCGGCTGTCCAGATGGAGTTTGGTAGGTCATTCCACCAACAGGGTGCAGTAAAAGAAAACGTCCTTGAGAGTGATTTTGTACCTCTCTGCGAAGGGACCACGAGCCACCACTCATTTACCGACTGCAGGCTTCTGGAGGGGATGTAGATGCATAGGAGAGAGCAGAGGTAGGAGGGTGTGGAGCCCGTGGCTGTTCTGTAGGAAAGAACCAATGTTTTGAACTTGATGCGAGCCGCGACTGGAAGCCACTGCAGAGAGATGAGAAGCGGTGTGACATGGGCTCTATTGGGCTCATTGAAAACAAGACACGCTGCTGCATTCTGAATCATTTGCAGAGGTCTGATTGCTCATGTTGGAAGTCCAGCCAGAAGAGCATTGCAATAGTCCAGCCTAGAAATGACAAGAGGCTGGACGAGAAGCTGTGTTGCATGCTCTGTTAAGAAGGGTCTGATCTTCCTGATGTTGTGTAGTGCAAACCTGCATGATCGTTCTGTTTTTGCAATATGATCTTCAGCTGATCATCAACAATCTCCCCAAAGATTCCTAGCCGAACATGATGGGATTATCGTTGATGAGCCCAGTTGGATGGTAAACTGGTGCTGTACTGATGGGGAGGCTGGGAAGATGAGAAGTTCTGTTTGGGCTGCAGGTGATGTTCTTTCATCCATGCTGAGATGTCCGTCAGGCAGTCTGAGATCCGAGCAGGTACTTTTGGATCATCTGGTTGAAATGAGAGGTAGAGCTGTGTGACATCAGCATAGCAATGGTAGGAAAAACCATGTGCCTGAA